AATGATGATTTTACTGTTGATTTCTGGAGACTGTGGAGGCAGCGATGATTTAAGTACAGGAAAAGCATTCCAAATGAAGGCATCCTGCCTACTGATACCACATCTTCTCTACCTCAATGATAGAAGATAAAACTTGCAACAAGGCTATAACTTCTGGAGAAGGAAGGTAGTCACAGAAGAATCTTTTCAAGCACAACTGAGTTTGTAATTCTTACTAATTGCCTCTGCCAATGGCCCAGTGTGAAATTACAGCCAGTTTGAGAACCCCACTGCTTTAGGCCTGCTTCTGTCAAGGGACATCTATCCATCACCTCATTGTGCAAACTGTCCCATTTGAGACCTAGCAATGCCAAGGCCTCCTGCATTACTTGGATCCAGACCTACTAATTACAAGTGTAGCTCACACTGAGAGGGAAAAAGACAAGTAAAATGCTGCACAAAACCAATCTCTCTGCTGCATTTCCAAGGGGCCTCACCAACTCCTAGTCTCAGGTGGGCGCTGCAGTGAAGACTCTCTGCTGACACACCTTCATCTTTCTTCCTGCAGTTTGCAGTAAACACAAAAACAGAGAAGGTTGCGAATCTTTTGGATTACATGCAACATTTTCCTTTACCAAAGCATGGGCAGTTTTGACAGTACTAGTAAAACTGGAAGGCAGACCAGAATTGTTACTGACTACTGGTCTTCTAACCAGTCAGAATGAATAATCAGAGATGAATCATTCGGGTAATAGAAGAAACTACTATTTAGCAAACAAAAACACACCACAAAAGGACACTCAAATCTCTTTGACTTAAAGATTTAAACAGGAATTTGTCAGAAATTCTCCATTCCGCCCTGACAAACACAGCATTCGCAGATGCTGGTGTAACGCCGTCGCTTCCCAAGGGGCGAGGGAGCCCCGGGGAGTCGGCGCGGGGCTCGCTCCCGGGCTGGCAGGCAGCAAGGTATGAAGGGCTGCTGGGCTGATGGCTGCGTAACATCACAGAAACTTGTCTTGACCTCCGCTAACAGCAAGGGCTGAAATAGTTGATGACTCTTGCTTGCGTCAAGCCCTGTGAGATTTTAAGCAGCAACTATGCATACAAATCAGGCCCTGCTGTTCTTCCTGCTCCTTCAACTTTCCTCCCAACACCACCTAGCTAAAAAGAAACATTCTTTTAAGTACTAAATGTGATTCACTAACACAAACAAACTAAACAGACTGAATAGGAAGGGGACAGTAAGCTTCATTTACAACACAGATTTCTGAGCCTCTAGTGTATCTATCCGTGTATCCAGCACACAAACCTAGGCAGACTTGGGAGTTTCCATACAGGTAGGAGATCTTATTCACCCATGAGGATGCAACAGCAATCTCTGATGTGAAAACAAGGAATTTTAAACCTGTGAGAGTTATTTCAATTTGCTTTCATTTTATTTTGAGCTCCTAGCAGTCAAAGCAATTATAGCTGTAACCACGGTGGCTACAAATTCAGCAATTTGATGTCCATAATTTCTCAGAAGAGAAGGGTAAAACCTTCAGGCTCTTTCCTTCAAGACAAAAAGACTTTCTTTGCCCAACACACCCATTAACAGTATTTCTCAATCCTACACAAGGAAAGAGGCAAACACAATAGAGAACATAGAAGTTACAAACAAGAATTCAAAGTTTAACCTAATTTTCACCTGACAGCAAATAAAATCACTGTGGCTATGCTATACCAGACAGCCTTCAATTTTTTTCATTTCTGAGTTAAGTAGCCCTTTAATTTAAATAAGGCTAAGAAATACTACTCTATAAACAAATGTGTGGAATCATATTTTATGTGCAATGTAACATGATGATACTAAAACTGCTGTCAGTTGGCAAGCTGACATTCTCAGCCATGCTAGTAGTAGAACACATGATCACTGCAGCATGTGTGTAGTAGCTGTTACAATATACTTCAGAATGGAAATGCCACATCCCTAACAAAATTAGATTATTCTAGACAGAAAACAGTGTTATTGTAACAAGGCTTGTGTCCTTAAACTTATATAGTACAAGAACAAAACTGTTTCTGTCTTCTAAAGTTCAAAATAAGTCAAGCGATTCTGACTTCTCTGGCACTGAACCACCTCATAAGCCAGACTTTTGGTGCTACCAATGGCCACTGCTTTGGGAAGAAGAAAGAGAGAAGAGTGACGACGTGTTTTCTTTTACTGACACCACAGCCTCCTCTTCACAAGACAGGTAATTTAAAGTGTTCCAAAATAATAATTCTTCTTCTGAGATGTCAAAGTGTGTGACTGTCAGCCATGGAATGAATGTCATCAGTTTATTTCTCATGTGAAAGTTCATGACAGAGAGCAGGGAAAGGATGTGGTGTACAGTTTTTAGCAGGGTCAATGGCTCTGACTGCCTTCCATCACTGAATATGAAGACTGTGCTTGGGATATTTTTAAACAACTTTACAGAAAAGTGACGTAGCAATATCTGAAAGTACAAATGCAGAAAACTAGATGAGGAGCTGATGACACTGGAGATGCTTCTGTTCTTCTTCCTTGGTCTATTTACATGTCTTGAACGGTCTCCAAAAGGCATCTGCTCAGCATGCACCATCTGGTATGCAGATACCATTTCCAGATGTTAAATTACACATAAACTAGCTTTTCACATTGTTTTTTCTTTTTTAATCTAGACAGTAGCACGTCCATGTGAAACAGTGTATAAGGGATGACGTGCCCAGACAGAAAACAGGCAGGGTCTAATCAATGCACTACTACATACTAATGTAGTACTTCACTTGCCCCACTTCTTCATTATGATTTCCAACTAATTAATTATAATCACATTCTAACATTACACTCTTTAACCCCCTGCAATGAATAAGTAATTTTTCTTGAGTGCGACAGTTATATATAGCAAATAATGGTGGGATAACAAAAGCCCACATGGAGAAGAAAGGATGAGACTGAGACATAAGAAGACAAACAGGTAATTTTGTATGTTAATTTCCCACTCAAGGGGAAAAAAAGGGAAATAGTACTTACCAGGCATAATGCTTTTCATCTGCAAAAGGCTTTCGAACCTAATTACATTCTCACAACTCCTTGTAAAATGATCTGCAACTATTATCTCTGTTGTACCACGGAAGAAGTCATGGGATGGCAGCTTACCCCAGAGTGGTCCAGATCTCCAGTTTTCTGCTCGGACCACATCCCATTTCTTTTTCTGCACCATACCCTGTCACTCAACTCCCCTGAACACACCAACTTTGCCTGCTTAGCTGTAGCGCTGTGATCTTCCAGCCTTGGAAGCCCCGGGTTTCCATGTCCCTGGGTACTGTTTTAGCATGCTTGAAACATTTGCATTTTTTCCTCTCGCCAAACCGAGCATCATTTTGTGGATAGCAACACATTTGCTCTGTGTTTACAGGAATAACCAACACTTGAGTAAAATGAACAGTCAGAGAAGTGAGGACAGTGCTGAAGCTCTCCTTCTGTCAGGATGAAAGTTAGCAACAAGCTCCATGCTCCACGCCAGCCCCACTGGGATCACCCGAGTCCCCGGGAAACGCCACCCATTTACGAAAGGCACAGATGTGGTTTTGCCGTTAAGGAAGTGAAACCCGCAATTTTTTATTTTTTTTTTAAGCATTTGTTCTTGAACAACTGTTTTGCGCTCCTTAAAGGCACTGCCACAAGGCTGTCACAGCTGGGAAACACAAACAGCAAAAGCACATGCCTGCAGTTAGATCCAGCACAGGTTAACAACGACAACGCTTCATGACTTAAAAAGTGGCAGGAACTTTAAACAGATGTATCAATAAGGTGTTGAAAAATCAAACTTTTTATATATAGCTAGTGCCTCATAGATAACTGCTTAAAAGAACAAAAGCAAGTGATCTAAATATAAACTGCAATTACCTTCCACAGCAACCAAAACTGCTCCGTGCAGCGTTGTGTTAAACCATGAGCATGTGGAAACCTTCCTGCCCTTTGCTTGGCCATTGAGCCCAGCTCCTGTGACCCTCACACTGTCCCTAGCCATGTTACTCATCTCTCACTCCTTCTCAGTAGATGCAGTAACTAGATGACCATAGTTGACATACTGCATTGACCTATTATTAGGTGACCCTGACACTCTACTTCACATTTTCTCAGTTTATATTCACAACAATTCTAAATTGAAATATCAGTATGAACTTTTTATCCACAACCTTGGAAGTGGTAACGAGAAATGTATGTGACATCCTCAGTTACAGCCTGTGTGACATCATAACTCAGGAAAGTGGAAGTGGGCTTTTTGTCTCTTCCTTCCTTAAAATACGTAACATCATGCAAGTCTGATTATGCAGAAAACGGTAACTTTACCCTCTCCTTCATCAAACGTCTCAGAGAACTTGCCTGTTGAGTATTTGAAAGATGGAGAAGTCATGCAAAAAAATTTACAGAACTAAAAGGTCTTATGCAACCACCCAAAGGCTATCTGCCATAAAGAATGGGCAAAGCTTTCTAAACTAACTTGTTCAGCTGACAGGAGACACTCCCCCTGCCTTGCCTCTTCTCAGAATGAGTCACTGATGTGGCCAACCGAGGAGTGGGAAAGAGGAAAAGCTATTCGAAAATGACCCTCCCAGGACACAGAAGAAGCTGCTGGCTGAAGGTGTAGCCCGCCACATGCACCGAGCATAAAAGAAATCACCTCATTATTCAAAGCCAAGCTTGCACCAGGGCCAATATCACAATATAGTGGAATCCAAGGAAGCAATTAGACTTATTAAGCTTTGGTTTCCTTGACACCCATAATCACTTGAAACTGTACTACATCGACATGGCTTGTGACCACATACAGCTTGCAGATAACAAATTTAAGGTAAACATCTAAAATGAAAGTGCAATGAATAGTGAATGATATATTTGCTATTAGAAGCAGCACCTGCTAAATGGAGTAACCCATCCAGAAACTGTTTTTTGCTCAACAAGAGGCAATATTCCAAACTAAGTCAACGACAAAAAAAATTAAGATACTCACCAGCAAGTGTATAATCCATATCAAAACCAAAGCACTTTATCTTTTCCATGGCTAAACTTCGGTTTACAAAGACCCTGTAAAGAGAGAAGAGAGAAAGTCACAGGTAGGAGCATTTTCAAAATAATCGTGTTTCAGAACAAACACATTCTGCCAGCTGTCAGGATGTCTGGCTCTCTTAGGGGACGATCAGAAAATACACCTGAAAATGGAGGCATGTTTCATTTCTTGTGATGAGCTCTCCTGAAGCAAAGCCATGACTTTGCTGGGTTATTCTAATTATTGGTATGCTGTCTAAAGACATACATGCATGCATGCACACACACACGGCTTTGCACGTGACCTGCAAAAATTCCTAAGAATAGAAATGCAAAATCTCCTGAAGCAGAATTCAGACCTCAAGTGAGAGGGAACTGGAAGCAGAGGATGGAGGGCAACACAATTCGCTTGATTAAAACAAATCATTACAAAGCAGTAACAAGGAAAGGAAAAGAAAACAACATTTCTGTGAATAAATTCACAGCATTTGAGCCCTCTTTGGAACCATATCTGGAAATTCAAAACAAACCTAAACAGATTCTTTTCCACACTTACACCAATAATGTTAAAAACATCTAATAAAGCTCTGAAAAACATAAGTTTTCATCCAGAAGAATATGCTCTTTCTATTGTGAAAATTTGTCTTTTTATTTATGTCCCCTGCAACTCCTCAACAAAATTGCTGTTTTTTAAAATTCCATTTCTACTACTAATGCTTACTGCAATGAGAATCTAAGCTGAATACTTCCAGGCCCTTTCTGATGACAACATTTTAATACACCATATTCAATTTAGTTCGAGTAAATAACATGGTAAAGAAATAGGTCAGAGAATATGACAAAAGCTCCTCTTGCCTCCTGTTCCAACTAGTACAGTAACTAAGCTGCTTATGTTTCCCCAGAACTTTAAACCATACAGCATATCTGTAATTCTACAGGACTTCTCTCCACCGTCTGTCTTACAGAAACTTTAAAAACAAGAGTCGGAACTCAGCTGTGGCAGGGAAGCTGAGCTTCTCAACACTGATCTCGGACAGAAATCCCACGTACTGCTCGAGCTGTGATGCCGAGACAAAATTCTCCTGTACGAGAAAAGTCCCAGAGCCTTCATCCGTACTGATTTCAATATGTGAAAATTCTCCAAATATCTAATAAGCGCACTGCCCTCAGCAGAGTAATCACCCTCTTAAAAACTGAAATCGGCAGCACTGCTGCGTAGGAGGAGCGGCGCAGGGACAGCGAGGCAGCAATGGAGACGGCAAGTGCAAAGCCAAGCACCCGTACGTTCTGAAAAGCTGCAAGAAACCGCCGGGAGATTCTCCTCTGCACGCACGCTCTGGGCAGGTGGCCGGCATAACGCGCCCGCTTCACTGCCCGGGTCAATCTGCTGCAGCTCGAGTTTGAACAGCAAACTGCTAACATCAAACTATCACACTTCTATGCAAGTCGCCTTACCTCATCTCTCACCGATGTGCTCCTTGTTTAGTTCGCAGCAGTCTGATTCATCTACTTGTCTGAATCATATTACACAATTCCTTTAAAGCTTCCCCGGTACAGATGCAATTTTGCTTGGATCTGATTTGACTTCAGAAGATCATTATGTCTGAACCAAGCCTTAAAGTACTGTATATCTTCTTGGACAGTGTTCTAGAAAACACATCTGTGGCTAATTTAGCCAGTCACTGGATATCGTTGTTGTTCCACACAAATCCGCTTGGAATACAGTTTCTCTGGCAATCGTGTACTTTCCCCCTAACCTTGCACACTCTCCCTGGGAGTCACAGTTTCCTGGCAAAGTGCCTGCCTTCGACAATGGGGCTTGTCACTAAGGGGCCTCCGAGGTTACAGACGACGCGCTTGACGCTCTTTTCTGATAGATTTATGTATTACCTAAACAAGACAAAGTGATGGGGAAAAAAAAACTGGAAACTGGTAAAGAAATGCCTTTTGGAAATATGAGATGGGATCGTAAGTCACTAAAATTCACTCCTGAAATAGCCGGCTTTTGAGTAGGTGGAGCAAATTATCTGAATCTGCAGTTTGAATCCATGTTTGTCTTTTAACACCAAGATAGCTCTGATTTGCAAGAGGCCAATGTGAAATGCTACTTGGTACTAAACACAGTCTCATACTTTGTATAATGAAGACGATTATGTTCTGCTGCTGCTTATGCCAGGAAGCATTATTTATTAGCTAATTCAAGCACATGATTTCTGACCTCATGTTTGTGCAGTTTGTTTCTGAAAGTGGGAAACTTTAATAAGTAGTAACATACCTCCGGGGGATGCTAGCAACATTTTTTGCCCAATCTGCAGAGTCCAGTTTTGGTTTTGCCTTTAGGCTTTGCCCCTGGAGCACAGTTTTCCATCCTTCTGAACAGGACAGGAATAGGAAGGGAAATTTAAAGAAACTCAGAAGAGTGTTCCAGAATTGCAATGTTTGGGAACGGTTTCCAAAACGAGAACAACAAACAAGCACTAGGCCGGGGCTGAATGCACTCATAAAAAGGGTAATACGACAGTGCCTGTGAAAGGCGAAAACAAGCGAGCTGTGACCCAAGAGCTCTCTTCCAGTCCAGCCTGCCTATGTTTAGGTGATGACGACACCAAACTGACCAAAAACCGTGGAAAGATCTCTAAGCCTCCGACATTTTTTTCATCGCTTGCTCTCGGAGGATTTACAAACTGAACCCCAGGACTAAAAAAGAAAACCAGCACACGTTGATACTGAAGATCTGGAAAAGTTTGCTAAAGGCAATGAAACAAACAACATCTATTAGCATATTTTTGTTCCAAAATAGGTCTTATGACTAAACCACAAAAATTACTATACCAGCCCCCTATTGGTAACAGCTGGTGAAGATCTCTCTTTCTCCATCAACTCATAACTATCGCCTATGTTGTAGAAACTGTACGTGGCAGGGTCTAATGCCCCAACAGCACACGGACCTGGCAGATTTCAAGGCATCCTACAGACTGATTTGACGTGGTAATTACTTCAGCCACCAGTGCTGGAGTAAAATAGAGCAAATATTTTAAAAAGCTAAAGAAGGCTATTACACAATGTGCTCAGGACAGGAAATGAGAACACTTTAATCTATTTAAACTCGGATATGCTTTGGCAGATTAAATGGCAGACTAAACAGGGGAAAAAAAAATGGAACCAGCTTCGCTCCTCCTGTGAAGGCCCAGCCATATATTGGGTTATTTTGTAGGCACTCAGGACCTCAATTTTAAATCTGGATAAAGGAAGACGTCTCCTATACACGATGCCCCTGCAGACACAAGGGGCTAGGTAGATACTTACAAATATTTACTCCCAGAAGCTGACAAGCTTAATGCAGGTGGTTTACTCAAAGTAGTAAATATCTGCAGTATCCTAGAAACTAAAGATAAAGGTTGAGATTAAATCACCACAACAGTTTCTGGGAAGAGCCAGGTGCTTCTCACAAGCTGCAGACTTAGCCCATTTCAAAGCTGTGCTTAGATCCTAATCGAAGGTACGTACGCTCAGCCTGATTTCAAGAATACCGGTCAAATGTGTCTGTTGGCTACAAAAATGTAACGTCTCCACAGAAGACATGGTATAGAGAAATGACAAGAGTTGTTTTTAATGACTACAAAGCAAAACCAACACTAAGACTCTAAGAACCCTATCCAACTGAGAGAAAAGATCCTCTGGTCTCTAAAGGAAAGGATGAAGTGACAAGTTTTTTACAGCTCATCTAGATAAACAAAAATCAAAGAAGCTTCCAGATTACAAACAGTTGAGATAAAGTCAGAATACAAGGAAAACTAAAATCACCCAATATTTTTCGGCAAGGAATTTTTCATCTAGAATAATTATTCCACTTGCCAGAATCAGAAGAAATCACCCTTCCCCTGATTTTGCTTTTTTCCATTCAGAAAATAATCCTTTTAAGTAGAAGCGCTGGAGTTAAAAATTAAGCTGATCTAAAAATTTAACAGCACTGGGCAGTAAGAAAACTCAAACTGCAGGCATAGCATGAGAACACCCTCTCCATTCCTTGTGCTGAGGCACAGGGGGTATCCCCTAAACCCAACTCCCCAGCTCCACACCTGTCTGCAACCAGAGCATCTCCTTAAATAGGGCACTGCCTTTCTCCTCCCTTCATCTTTCCATCCTGATGACACACCAAGCTTTATATTTCTGCTTGGAGGAGTATCTCTGTGAATCTCCCACAGTTTCGCACTCCCTGTGCAGAGTGGCTAGAGCAGTCCAAGGCACCGCTGCTCTGGGGAAGCCGGCTGAGGGACCACATCCAGCCCCACCGGCCCTCGAGCCAGCACACGGCACAGCGGGGAGGCAGCAGCCAGGACGTGGGGTGGCTTAGCCTGGCACAGATCCACACCTCTAGAAAAACGGACTCGAGGAGCTGTTTAAGGGAAACCATAAAGCACATTTGCTCCTTAATGAGTTCTTCCTCAAAGATTAAACCCTGCAGCTCGGCCACAGCAGAAGGCTCTCAATGATGATAGTATTTATTTTCTTTTTGAGCTCTATGAATTGTGCTGGATAAGAGAAAAATGTGTTGTACTGCAAGGAAGAAGGAACTGCTGAGCATGCATAAAGGGAGTCACTGAGCCCTGATACCCTCACACTGCAATTCACAGTCCTTTATATTTTTAAAAGAGAACTGATCTCAGTTTTGTTACTGTTCTTGTCAATCAATTCTGAGGCAGGAGCCTAAGTCCCCACTCTTCTCGAGTAACACAGGAAAGGAGCGAATGCAGAGAGGGAGAAATGTTTTTGTTCTATTTGTGCAAGATCTCAATAGCATTCTGTGCCCTGAATGAAATTTGCATGGATAATATTCTTGTAATATGACAAAGTAAACAAAATGCACAGAATTATAAAACTAAGGAGGAATTTGGCACATGGATCACAACTCCTCATAGCGAGAAAACGAAAACGAACAATGTGAGGCAAGGTTTCTGGAACAGAGCATTTTTATAATGATTTTCCAAATGTGTCTAGAAATACCTTCCAGCAGGAAGCATTCTTTGTGAGGAGAGTAT